CTAGCACTAATATGATATACATTGGGTCCACGAAGAATAATTTTAAAGATAGATGGAGGCAGCATAAGTGCTCCTTTAATAATATAAACAAACGAGATCAGACTTCACTATCAAAATATTTTTGGCACCTGAAGGAAACAAATAAGACACCAAAAGTTAAATGGAAAATTATTGACAAGGCTAGAATATGTAAAGCTTGGGATGACCCATGCCCTTTGTGCCTCCATAAAAAATTACACATCATTAAACTTCTAAATAATAATAATCTATTAAATAATAGACACGAGTTAACGGTTTAATAGCATCATCGATTTTTGGTTTGAATTATTAGTAAAAAATAATTTATATAACTTGTTTAACAAATAGCCCAATCATCAGATTCATAGTAGGAATAATTAACTACAAACATGCATTACATAAAACTTCATAATCCATAGCCTAAATTAGTAGTTTAAATACTTTACATATAAGATAAACCTTTATGAAGTCGTCAAAAATAAACGTTACGAAAGTTTTTTTTTTTTTTATATGCACAACCCCTTTCATAATTAAATAAAATAAAATAAATAAATAAACTTCATAGACAAGCAAACCAGACGATGGCCAATACATCTTCCGTTTCATTTTGACATCCCCACCTTTCCCCGACTTGACACCTTGAAAGTATCTCTATACCGCTACTTATTATAAAATACACTGCCTACCCAATTTAGACAATTCACCATAGCTGTTACCATGGTGATTTTGATTTCAATTTAAAACAAGTAAATTTCAGATATACGTTATTCCAACAAAAATTTCGCTTTGAGGATGGAACGGAGCCCATTTTACTTTCAACTCAATTTAATTTAAAGGATTATATTGAAGTTTTTGCCCTAGTTTTGAAACATGAGACCTCTTATGTAGCGATTTGGAATCATATTTTTAAATAAATAATTATATATATATATATATATATATATATATATATATATATATATGTTGAGAACAGTAAAGCTCTGCCCCAATGGTTCCCAAATACGGTGAGCCTCAGAGGTGCAGCGGAAGAGGATAGAAGGTGAGGTAGCACGATTGAAAGGCAATCAAAGATTTAGAAACAGTTACAAAAAGGTCATATGTTTCAAAATTTAAAATATTACTATGGATTAATTGTAATTGCATGCATGAGTCCCAGTATAAATAGTTATAAATAATTATTGACTGATTTTATCATTGTGTTATTTTTGCATTATATCAAGTATTAAGAATATAGTAACTAGGGTCTTCGAATTGGAGGAGAGAGTTATCATTGATAATGTTCTGACTTCGAATCCTTTGTTATCTCCCTTTAACCCATTCTCTTTTTTTTTTTAATGTACTTTTTATCACATGATTTTTTGTGAGGCATGAGCAAATTTTAATTTCGAAAATGCGGCCCAGAGGAAAAAAAATTTGAGAACAACTGCAACTATTAGCGCTCACTCATTACAAAACTATGGTTACGATATCTGCCTGATGGGCAGATTTAAGGTGAGGGTTGTAAGCCATTAATATCAAAGCTGTATTCGTTGTCACGAACTTGGTTTGTTGTATAGCTTTTAAGAATTGATAACTATTTGGCAGACATGTAATATAATTTTGTCTATTACTACAGCCAGTTAGTACTCTAGGTAGAGATGGTGAATTTTTGTCTGTATAAATAAACTTTGGCATTTATATTGATGAGTTTGTTTTTGTTGACCATTGTTTGATCGGAGTTTTATTGTTTTTTTTTTTTTGCTTAATACCAACCGATTGCCCGGCCGGCGTCGTTCATCTTTCCACGTATTTCTCGGGTCTACCGCTAAAAGTAGTTAAGAGCCAAAACGTGCGAGTCAAAGAACAAGTTTTCTGTTCATCCTTGTTAGTTTTTGCATTAAGTTTCTGCCGATGCTGACTTCGGCCTTCATCTTTATCTGTATTTCTCAGACCATTCATTGCCATTATTTCATGACTTATTGGCACAAATATTCTTATATATTTTTTCAGTTATGTAATGAGTAGAGTGGTTTGACATTGTTTTCTCCACTGTGATTTTATTGATACACTACGTCAGGTTAGTCAGTTGTTGACTCTCTTGGATTTATTTGGTAGGTCTTGTTTTTTTTTTTATTCTACATAGCAGCTAACCATTCTCCTCGCACCGTTTGAAATGGGATAAGAGTACCAGTTTCGTTTTATTCCAATTACACAACTGTTAGCGGAAACGCTATATGTGGAAGGAAGTAGGTTACCTGTCTCTGCCGAGTAATTCAAATGAGACAGGATGTGTAAGCAAAGAGGATGTTTTAAGGAAAATAGGAATTATATGGAAATTGATTTTTATAATTAGAAAGCGACAGTGAAAATTTCTGGAACATATTATGTGTAAAGATTGCTTAGAGAGTTTAACCCTCACATGATATACTGAAGGCAAGTAGAGGGAAACTGACTGACTTACTTAAAAATGTTTTTGAGAATGTATGGCAGACAGGGCTGGTAAAGAGCGAAAGGCATGGCACGTGGAACTAGAACAATCTACTCCAGTGGACGAAATAAAAGGTTCAGTTCAAAATTCTAATCATCTGAAGAATGCCGGAGTGTACAACGGGCGAAAAATCGTGAATACGCCAACAAAGATGAGGACAGCAGTCTGATCAATGTAAATGGTGTAAATAATTGCAATACCTCATCTCAGCAATATATATATAGTGATTTTCCAAGCATAGCTTAGATGAAGCACAAGGCCGAAAGTAGGGGCACCCAGTGAGGATCGAACTCACTACTCAGTAGTAATTGTTCTATATATATATATATATATATATATATATATATATATACCTACCAACATCAGCTCGTTTTCGTGGGAAGAAACTGCCAGGGACCGAACGACGTGGAGGCGATCAATACACGATGACATCGCGGACTTCGAGGAAAGGAGGAGGGAGAATGAAGAGGCAAGGCAACTAAGGAGAAGAGTGCGCAGAACGACCCCCGTCCTCCCTCCCCTGTGAGCACTGTCCGCGACTTTCCCACCACCGACTGGGCCTCGCAAATCATGTCAAACATAAACATCAACCGTGAAGATAGGACTTAAAAGATTAACAGAACCCGATACTCGGACACGACTGTGAGCCGACGACGATATAAATATATATATATATATATATATATATATATATATATATATATATATGTGTGTGTGTGTGTGTGTGTGTGTCTTCGAAGGATTTCCACAAATGTTGTTGTTCATGGAATGGAAGAAGTGGTAATCTGTTGGCGTAAAATCTCGGTAGTAAAGTGAATGGCACAGTGTCTCCCAGCCAAGTCGCCGAATGGTATCCTTGGTCACCCGCCTAGCATTACATTACGCCTAGCATTGTTATGGCAGAACAGTACACGCTTACGATTATCTAATGCTGGTTCCCTGTGCTTCAGTGCCTGTTGCACAAATTCTGCGAGTACATGTCCGCACTGATGGTTTAGCCCGTTGGTAGCATCTCATAATGTATCACTCATCAACTAGTCAACCAGATACATAGCATGATCTTGCGTGGTTGTAGAGGTGGTCGTGACCCACTTTTCGTCGCTGTTGAGCACTCGATCAAATATGTGTACGTTTCTGTGTTGCGAAATTATTTGTTGTTGCTTGTTGGCTTCCGACAGTGTGTGGGGTACCCACTTCTACACATTCCCAATTCGATGACGGTGAGGTTTGGTTGTTTCGTCAGTATCCTGGAAGCGTTCAGCAAGCTCACCAAAGGTTTAGTTGCTGTCCACCTCTATGGCCGCCTCCAGGAACTCATCATCTAGGATCTGTGGCCGGCCACTGCGGAGTTTATCACAAAGGGACAAATCTCCCGACCGGAACTTCTGGAAACAAATGCCAGGCGGCGCATTACTCACAGCATTATCCCCAAAGACTTGACATATTCGGGAACTTGATACGGCTGAAGGCAAACTCACCTTAATATGACTCACTTATTTGCGTATCAATGATCATTTCTTCCTACACGACATAAAAAGCGGCAAGGACTTTTTTTTGGCTACTTTATATATAAGGCTTATAGTAAATTCTTTAAGTGTTAACGATCAGTATAATTCGTTATGATGTTAGGTGATGTTAAATGTATACACAAATTTATAAAAAAAATGAATGTAACACTAATTAAACAGAAATAGCCAACTATTATGACTTATAGCAACAAAATGTAGGATATTGTGAAAAGCCGGAAGTGACATGGAATATAATAGAAGATCCTTATATTTATTGTTTTGATTACCATATTTCAGGCTATAAGTAAGAGTGATTGAGAAAAAGCAGGAATATAAAAACGAAAGTGACAGAGGCAACGAAGGAAGCAAGTGAGAATGAAATGAGAGAGAGAGAGGCTAAGAGATAATGGAAGTGAGAGAGAATAAGAGTGTCAGTGAAGGAGAAGGAGAACATAGGAGCTGTTGAAAGTGAGAGAGGGAAAATAACAAAGATGAATAGAAAGAGAGAGAGAGAGAGAGGTATATATATATATATATATATATATATATATATATATATATATATATATATATATATTATTGTTGTAAAAGGCTTGTGAAATATTCATTTGCAATCCATGATGACTATTTCATCGTCGGGTGCATTTTAAAAATACCCAGTACATTGCCAAGTCAAGATAATTCAAACTTACCATCACTCAGAGACAACGGGATTGTTGATCGTAATAACAGGAATTTATTGGCTCGGAAGACATCTTCGCGATAATAATCACGCATGCAGACGATACGAGAAGAGACGATGCCGAGATGGGAAAGTCTTATAGATGCCAAGCGATAAGGCCTGAGTTGCAAAGGGCAAAGGAAGTTACAAACTTAAAAGAACTATCAATCTTGTGGTTCTTTTTCGATTATAGACTTGTAGATTTGGCTCCATTTCTTGTGGAACCAGTCTGTCTAAGAATGGCTCGCAACTCTGCCCCATCTTTCGACCTGTTTATTTTTTTCAGACATCATGGAAGTTTCTGTCGACAATGAAAATACTTTCACTCACCTAACTACGCACTCTTACGTTTATTTGTCCGCTTCTCTAAAACTATATTCCTCTTTCTCTCCTTTTCACAAACTTTCTCTGATTCTCACACACATTAGCGTGCGCCTATCTATCTATCTATCTATCTATCTATCTATCTCTATATGTGTGTGTGTTTGTGTGTTTGTGTGTATGAGAGTCGCCCATGAAGTAATGCCTCCTAGCATGTTGACTGACAATTTCAGAGAGTAAACAATGGATATGAGCACAGTCCAGAGCGTTTCAGCAGTATGACTAGATACTTTCTGGACATATGTTGGTTGTTTACGTCAAATATTTTGGAAGAGACCAATCTCTCAAAATTTTAAGAAATGACAAAACACCGCTAAGAGACGATCCCATCCGTAGTCCGAATTTTGTTTATAAAAATTATTGTCTAAAGTGAAATAAAATTTATTTCTAATGAGTTACCAATTTATCATAATTTTTTATGATTTTATCCATGATTAGCGGGGGGGTGGGTAATTATTGATTTTACTGGAGATTTAAAGAGTTTCAATCATTTGGTAACAAGTTCATTTGTATATAGGGATTTATCAACTAACCCTGAGTTTATCTTTCATATTTATCTCCCTTAGTCTTTCGGTCAGGCCAACGGATTTTTTAATATAGGAATGACTAATTGATCGAGGAAGAAGTGTTAGGTTGGTTGGTTGGTTGATTTAATTTAGCGGCATATCAACGTTTTGCATATTGCTGAACATTTTGAACACAATTTTAGGGCCTCAACTAAATTTATTTTGAATGTAATTCCATGCCTTCAACTACAGATTAAATATAATTGTTGGTAATTCTAATAGGAAATATATTGCTGATCATATTGCTTTAAAAGTTTATTGCTGGTCATTTTACAATATATATGTATTGTTGGTAATTTTCTAATTTCCCAATCAGAAGCCTTGCTACCGGATGTAGTTTATCGTCATACTCAGGACTCGGTGATGCTAGGAATATTACTACGGTTTTGTCTAGTCTATAGAAGAGAACTACCAATCAAATCTATTTCTGATATATTGATGATATTTTATTAATATGTTCCCGCAAAGCATTATTACCTAATCTTGTAAATAACCTAAACAGCAACCTAAACGTAAAATCGAATTGACTTATGAAGCATAAAAAAATCACTTTCATTGCTATAATATTAAACTGCATCGATAATGATCTAAGACTGTATATCGCAAATCCACTGGTAAAAATGATCTTATAAACTTCTATTCTCACAATAACAACAAAATAAAACCCAGCATAATTATCAGCCTTTATTTATGAATTTGTAGAATGTGTAGCTTTATACATGATGAAGTGAATTACTTTTACATGTTTACATGATGAAGACATATTTGTACTCCGCCAATTATCACGTATTTGATAATGCTCGTCGTAAATGTCATTGGATTATATGAAAATAATATATGCATAATTTTGATAAAGGTAAACACACACCACTACATACTACAATGGCAACGACTACAACACTTTAAACAAGAGAGATTTACTTAATACGAAACAAAATACTAAGAGCCTAAAACCTGAAGAGAGAATAAGAAAAAGGGTTTATGAGAAAGTCATAAAACACAAGTAAAAAATCTCGAACTTTAAATAAAAGAATATATGAATACAAAAAGGGATCATTTAAAAAAAAAGTCCACTCAGTACTTCCAGTTGAATCCATTACATTCACTTATATGTTAATATATATTTGGGAAAGGTATGAATCCTCTTCTTCCCTCCCCCAGATATGGGTAAATAGCAGAACAGATCGAGTTCAATAGACTTGGGTGGCAACTGGTCTACCGCAGAAAGAAATCGCAACAAAATCTGCCTCGTCAATCATTTCTGGAAAGATACATGATCGCCTAAGCGTATATCACACGTGGCACATAACTGACTGACACTCAGTGAGTTAGTCAAGTGATTCTAAACCACTGTCCTCTTAAATGTACCGCGAAATATTGTCACGGTATACACACACACACACACACACACATATATATATATGTGTGTGTGTGTGTGTGTGTGTGTGTGTGTGTAATAGTGGTACGACATAAAAAACGACAAGGACTTTTTTGGCTACCTTATATATTAGGCTGATAGTAAATTCTTTACGTGTTATCGAAATATTAAGTTTAGTTCTAATGTAAGGTGGCGGGAGGCATAAAATTTCACCATACGCAAATTTATAAAAGATGAATGTATGGAAGTAGTAATGTTACAGTGTTAGTATTTGAATAAATGAATAAGTATTACATTTTTTTTTATCCCACATTAGCTAAAAAGCTTTATTAGTTTTATTACAATTTTCTAATTCTTATTTATGTGAATTGGGCTTCTCAACGTGAAATAACATAAAAAAAAGAAACGAGAAAGACTACACTCAACCGAAAAAGAAATGATAGTCTGCTTATCACACATTCGACCAAAGATTGAAAAAAAAAAAAAAAAAAACAGGCACAGGTTTCACACAAATAGTTGAATAGAAATATTGAAATAAAGTAATTTCATATTTGTGTGTTTATTTTTTGAATCTATGGCTTTATTTCATAACATTTAAATGTTTACCCTTTGCTAAGTGTCCCGTGACATTTTCATTTGCTCCTAGGTGTGCCGTTGCTTAAAAATTGAGAAAGATTGTATTTGTCGTTTACCGTAGTAGATCTGATCATAATTTTGACTTAAAAAATGCTGTTTTATTTTAAAGAGTAAATAATTTATTAAGGCGAGAATGTACTAATTTCTGAAACTCCCACGATAAATTTCCTCCCAGAATCATGCATCATAATACATTTTCTGACAAAGTTTCTGATATTATAATATTGGATAGCAACAGCAATAAAGATAAAAACAAAAGTAATTGAAAGCTGAATGAAATTGGCTTGATTGTGCATCTAGACGTACAGGGCGCCATAAATTTAAAATAAAGCGTCTTCAACTCTCTCTCTCTCTCTCTCTCTAATTGTCTGTGTGATTTTTCATATCATCATGAATTAATGTATGCCTATTATGTTATATTGGATTTATTTCTAGTTGCCTCTTTGACTTTTGTTGTGAGTTGTGTAGATATTGTAACAATTTTCATCACGGAAAATGGATTCGCCAAGTCGAGTTCAAGCTTGACTAGTCTAGTGACTTCACTACGCTCTAATTTCCTTGGGAAAGACATTGTTACATTCTTCCTAAAACCGGATCTTCTGATTCATGATATACTAATTTCTCTGGCCGAATGTGAACGCTCCGAAACCCAAAACTGAAGTAAAATTCTGTCAACTGCGCAAGGCTCCGCACATACCTTCCGTTTTTATTCACACACTCAAAGAAATAATAAACAATACAATCCAGAATTTCTACCCAATAGCACCCACTCCCGCCTAAAGAAATAAAATAAAAACCGGAGCAGATTTGAGCCTAAAAAAGGGCATAAAAGCCCATCAAAGGGACATTTTCGGCAGTTGGCATCTTTGCCTTTGCTCACAGACTTCGTCGGAAAGCGACCTCCTATCTCCAAGAAACAGCTCGCCAAAAACCGTAATTCACAACTTATTCTTCCTCTCCTTCCGTATGCCTCAACCAACGCCTTTTATAACTCCACTTATCTCTTTTTTCAACGAAAGACATTTACACCGATTTATCATTTGTTCTATTTTTTTTACTTTAATGCAATTGTTTATTTCTTTAAGCCGTCCTTGTTTTTTCTTTGTTCTGCTGCCATACGCTTATCCGAACAGCATGGATCCATTTAATCTCCTCTCAGCTATGGGTTAAATAGCAATGTGAACTGGGATATATAAATTTAGATAGTTGTCAGTCGACGCCAAGGACAACTCAGTATTCCAAACCGTGGAGAGATATAACGAGAAGCCAATAAATTAGCTTTCTAAAGAATTCGTGAAAATTCTCAGTTGATAAAGGAAAAGGATTCTGTGGAGAGCTATGATCACCTTCACCCTGAAAGGACAAAGCATTAAAACTGTAGAGGTCGGGATTCCAAGCTAGCTAAAAATCAAGTTTAAGAATATGAATCTTTAAAGAAAACTTTCTTGCTTTATGGTTTGGGACAGCACAATCTTTATACTGGTAATGTTCTACAACAGGTTGCCCAGCGACAAATTTATTATCACGTTTTTATCTTTCAAGAATAATTGATCTTGAATAACCTTGAACAATTTCTTAAATATTCATGACCTTGAATAATCAGTCGACTCTCGCGTAATTACTTAACTCTGATTGGTTCTTTTATGATTGATTAATTGCTGCTCGATCTTGTGTCTCGTCATTTAAAGGTTATTTCCAGACACCTTTCGTCTTTCATTCTGCTCTTCTCGTATGGCTAAACAAACTCATTGATTTTGAGCGTCGAGTTATCGCACTTTTCAAAGAAGACCATCCGACGTGGGGATTAAAGAAATGTGCAGAAATTCTTTCTGATTTTTTCAGTCATCACCAGTTTTCAATGGTTGTCTCGCCCTCTTTCTGAATTTACCGCCTTTTTTTTACTTGGCAACTTGTATTTGGCTTTAAAATAACTTATGTTTATTAGCAACGATATCGTACGTCACCGCTTGACCGGTTCAAGGTGATTATTCCAGTTTAAGTCTCAGAGCTGGTTTAAGAATGTGTCTCGAATACTGATAGCCTCTAACTCTAGTTAGAGGCTATCAATATTCGATTTGTTTCTGCCAACTCTGAACATTATATGGTATCGGGTTATGAAAACACTTTATTATACAAGATCACTAAAACCTATAAAAACTTTGAAATTGTGATAAGACTACATAGTATGCTTAAGGAAAGTGTTTGCATATTTATATATATATATATTTATTATTATTATACACACACACACACACACACACACACACACACACACACATATATATATATATATATATATATATATATATATATATGCGTGTATGTGTGCGTGTTTGTGTGCGTGTGTCTGTGTGCGTGTGTATGTGTGTTTGGCCTATAAACCCTGGTTAACTTAATTTCACCTCTATAAAACATCTACTGACCAATGGGACGCACAGACAGATACATCGACGTCAATATTTGCCAAGCCATTCGTCACAAAATAAATTCACGTATGCAAATCAACACACGGGCATAAGGGCACATCGGGAAATATTCATAGATAAGTATTTAAATGTAAATCTATGATTATTGCTAGACACGAATATACAAATAATTATGCGAACATATTTCACTCAGACGACCTTTATTTTCTTTTCGCAAGATGTAGGTCGCGGCTTTCAGACAAGGAACTATTTGTACTTATACACCCAGTCTGATTCCCTGTCTCTCGGTCTATTTTAATCTGTTTATAACTCTCTCTCTCTGTTAGAGAGAAAATGAATGAAATTGTCAGTAGGAAGACTGTATTGCGTCCGTTTTTCAAAATTAGAAAATCATTGGTTAAATATTAGATCAATCGGCCACTATCCTATCCATCTGGCCTTATCCCATTCATTTTCTCGAGTGCTCATTGTTCATATTCCCTATTATGTATGGCCTTGTTTCTCAACCTTTTTAAGCGACGGCACACCTAGGAACAAATGAACATATCACGGCAGACATAGCAAAATTTTTAAAATTTAAAATGTAAAATTTAGTGTCCCTACATCTTCAGCGCGTCTGTCGATCTATCTCAGTCTGTTCGTATCTCTCTTTCTGCCAGAGAGAAAATGAATGAAATTGTCTGCAGTAAGACTGTATTATACTCGTCTTTCAAAACTAGAAAAACGTTGGTTAAACGTTAGATCGAATTGCAAGTAGGCTATAGATATATTTATATAGACGGTATAGATTATTAAGATTAGATCGACACAAAAGCAAATGGGAGAAATTTAGGTGACTATACATGCCTTAGAAATCAGTATTCTGAAATCTTATATCATTTTACCTAGACCGCCAACCAGTAGTACCTTGGGTAAATAGTCAACTGCCTCATCCACCTGGCCATATCCTATTCTTTTTCTCGAGTAATCATTGTTCATATTCCCTATTATGTATGGCATTGTTTCTCAACCTTTTTAAGCAATGGCACACCTAGGAAAAAATGAACATCCGACGGCACACTTAAATTTAAAAGTTTGCAAACTCACAAATTTTTAATTTAGAGTCCTTAAATCTTAAGCATCACCCCTTCTCATGCATAAATATAACATCTGTTCATATTTATATCTACCCACGCTGCAAATATAATTCCATCAATAAGAACATTAATTTAGCACAGTGGACACTCTTCTCCCATAAATATAGTACACAACAAAACACACTCTCTCTCTTTCTTTCACTCTCTCCCTCACCCCCCACACAACATATATATATATATATATATATATATATATATATATATATATATAAAGTGGACACTGGAGTCAACATGAAGCGGTGACAGTCTGTTTAATGTTTCAAAGGAATCTCCATGTTTGTTGTCTTTTGGCTCAACTATTTATATATGCTGGCCAGCGATGCATTATGGGTAGGAAGGGCTATTGTATTATCTTCACGGTTATTGAGTGGGCGGTAACGGTTACGTTTCAAATTATTCTAGAGTGGAAATTATTGAGTGGAAATAATTGTGAATCCGCAAGTGGTTGTTTGTTACCTTTTTCCTCGTTATTTATTCATTTAAATTATTTATTGTTGATTATTATTATTACATTTACTTGTGTTTATATATTCATTCGTAATTTGATAATTTATTTATATTTTTGTTTATTTTCTATAATTATTTCATTTTTTTCTCATGTCTTGTTTACCATTTGTTTTATTTGCTATGATGTTAACTATTTTTCTGATTTTCGGGTAGAGTTTGAATATAAATTATCCAATGTCTTTCGGATTTCAGAAGCCATTATCAGATATTTTTATTGAATATTAAGTGTGTCTATCGGTATGCATTTTCTTTGTTTCTTTAGTATTGCTCGCCGGTTGTGTCGTGTTGGTGTGTATCTTGTTAGCTTTTTTCCGGATTAGTTTACTGTGTCTTGTAATTTTCTTTTTGTATTTTGCTTTTTTAGTTGTGAAATACATTTAGTATATTTATTCATAAATGTACTACCACTAAGAAAATATATTCACACAAACGGCTTAACATCGATATCAGAATCCCCTTATATATATATATATATATATATATATATATATATAAAACAAACTCAAACCCATACCTACAATAGGACTTACATAACTTAATAAAATGGAGCACATTTAATATTTCTATCTGCGAGATTTTAGACATAGTTATTTCTTGCGGTGAAAAAAATGTAACAATATCATGATCTCACTTGTGAGTTGAAATAGCTTTGGATGATGGAATTTAAATCAGTTTAATAATAATTGGCATTCGAGTAACATCTCAGTGAGCATACAGGCTAGATTAGGGGAACTTGATCAACGAAGAAGTGTTTAGACTGTTTGGACGACCGAAATCTGGGTTTCAGTGAGAATGGTAAATATTTCAAGAGACTTTTTGTCACTTGTTCGTTGCTGATTCTTGCTAGATATTTAGGAATAATAATAATGATGATAATAGCATGAATTTAAAACGCGGGCCATTCTAAGCAATCCACGCTTGAAATCGAGCGAATATTGAAGTGATTTAGAGTCACTGAATTCCTGTCGATGAACTCAAAGCTTCAAAAGATATAGAAATAGTCTTTTCTACGGATTGTGTATAATCCATAGAAAAGGGTGTTTCTTCATCTTTTGACGAGTAACAACAACGTCTACCAGACAGACAGACCTGGTGGAAAAATAATAATAATAATAATAATAATACTAATAATGATAATATTGATGATGACGTATCTTCTTTGTCTTTTCCCCTCCTCCTGCTTCTCTTCCTCATTCTCCTACTCCTCCTGTTTCTAAAGGAGAGTCTGTCATTTTTTTTATCTTTATCTCTGTATATTTGACGATTATTATTATTTCTTACTCTAATTCTCCTTATTAAAATGAGGTAAAAAAGACTGCCTGTTACAGCGGGTGCAGGACAACTCAACACCGCCGACTCAACACCGCCGACTCAACACCGCCGATTGAGCGTCCTGACAACTCAGGACTGAGACAATTCAGAACCAGAAAAACATAAATATTAAGAAACTGTAGAATAACAATAATAAACAACACTTACGGGTGTAAGAGTCCCAGCTAGCGTCCAGCTGGCAGACAAAAATAAAGCAGGTTGTAACTTAATACAAACCCTGCAAACTAACTGAGAAATCAAGCTGGTATTTATATAGAAATACTTCCACTCAGGTACCAGCAGCCAATCACAGCCCAAGCAATGGACTATCCCACTATAGCATAATAAGGTGCTCCATTGCACCATAAATAGCTCTCTTTCTCAATGTTGAATTAGTATTCACTCAGATTGCTCCACAACTGAGTGTTTATCTTGACCACGTGATTCTTCGACAGAAACAGAAATTTTTAAAAAATAATATGAATAATAATATATATAATAAGTAATAAAGAAAAGAGCACTGAATTGTTACTTAATATCAGTAATATTGCAGTAAATACTGAACAATCTCCCATAGACGAAGAGACTTGAAGCAAAAGAACCAACAAAAAGAGCCAGTCAGTTATGTACTATGCGTGATACACGCGTAGGCGATCATGTATCTTTCGATACATGAATGACGAGGCAGATTTTTCCCCGTAGTAAGTTGCTATTTCTTTCTGCGGTGGACCAGTTGCCAACCCGATCTGTCCTGCTATTTACACATAGCTGGAGGAGGATGAGAAGAGGATTCATACCTTCTCCAAGGTATTAGTACGTAAGCGAATGCAATGGACTCGACTGGAATCCGAACTCGGCTCTCCGATTCCTCAATCCAAGCCGCTATCCACCGTGCCTCCTTATTAAAATTAGGTAAACAGCGGGTGCAGGACCACTCAAGAAAAGAGTACTGAAATTTTATGTAATATCAGTCCCCCTATATGGCAGTAAATACTGGACAATCTCATCACATATGAAGAAATGATTTGAAGCAACAGAAATGTGTTCCTACAGAACGATGCCATGGACCGAATACGTGAGCATTGTAAAATTATTGAGACAATGGCAACGAAAAGGATAATATAAATAAATAAATGTACAACAATAATAAGCGGACTTTCTAAATTTCTGTCTATTATTATTTTATTTCCTTTCATTTCTTTCCGGGTCCCAACCAGAGATCTAAGGTCAGAAATGGTTTCATGATATTTTCCACTGAACATTTTATAGAAAAAACAAAAAAATCAAAACTTACGATCATACATATTTTACATAGATAAAGCCCTTTCTAAGGTGTGGGCTGTCATTGTAAGTACAAGTTTTTGGATTTGTTTAAGACTTTTAAGACTTTTAAGACTTGGGCTACTAGAAATCAATAACTACCGGAACCTTTTCCAGTCAAAGCCAGGATTCCAACTACAACTGGAATTATGGATGTTCTCATGTGCCTCATTTCTGAGATTTCCACTTCTAGGTCCTTGTATTTTCTGTCTGGGAAGTTAAGTGGCCAGATGTAAGGGGTGATGTGGTCGCATTAAATGTCTGAGAGCCATGACTGGGTTCTCCTGCTTGTTTGGCATGGAGTCCTGTTGCCAGACATAGGGTCTACTCTCTTGACCGTGGGCAGCGCTACCTCTTCAAGGCACTTGATGTAAGTATCTGTGTTGTGTCTGAGGCTCTGTGAGACGATGAGGGGGGGGGCATAACTCTTCCTCTGCATTGTCTTCGGATTGACACCCAAACACTCTGAAATGTTCCCATTGGAGATTACGGCGCGAATGCCAAGCAGTACAGCATGTCATTCCCAAATTTCTGACAGAGTGAATTGCATCATGGTGGTCTTTTTCTCACAGATGGTACCCAACTAACCCTACTAGTGGACAAAATCAAACATAAGCAACGCGCATGCTTTGAAATTTACCCATCTTATCTCTCTCTCTCTGTCTCTCTCTGTATATATATATATATATATATATATATATATATATATACACACAGAGAAAGAGAGAGAGAGAGAGGGATTTTAAGTGTTCGCGTATTTCTAATTTTCACATCTGGTAACCCTAGTGAGGTTAGAACTGTCATTTATTATTATTATTATTATTATTATTATTATTATTATTATCACCCTTACCATAATGGCAGTAATATTTAATCATTTTACAATTACATTGTTTACATATTCTGCCTGAACAGTCTGAATATGCAAACAATATAATTGCAAAGTTATTTAATCTAATATCTAAGACTTTATTTAAACAATTCATTCTATTGTCGATAGAAGAAATAATTCAGCTTTTTAAACCAATAAAAGGAAATATGTACACTTTTTA